TGATCTTAATCTCTTAGTTTAAGAGAAGACAGAGAGTGTATACACCGACGCCATTGTGATCGATTCTGAGCCATGTCACCAAGGGTCTCCAACCATTGGTTACGAAAGTCACGCGGACCCCAACCAAGTAGTCTGCATCTACCAACATGGCTCAGACTAGAAGTTAGTGACTTCAGGCACTGATGCCACGTTTTGGTTTGGCCGCCCCTAACTTTCTTCCAACCATCCCCTACACCGGTTAGCATTGCACGTCGCGGTAATCGGTGTTCAGGCATACGTAATACGTGGCCCAACCATCTCAGTCGATGAAGATTCATAACCTCATCAACTGATTTACCATCATTCCCTAATACCCTGCGTCTAACCTCACTATTACTTACCCGGTGATCCCAGCAGATGCCAGCAATATTTCTAAGGCATCTGTGGTCAAATACTAGTAGCTTACGGGTGTCTTCTACTCTTAAGGGCCATGTTTCGCTGCCGTAAATTAAAACAGAACGGACAGCCGCGCAGTATACTCGTCCTTTTATTGATAGACGGATATCTCGCCTCCGCCAAAGGTGACGTAAGTTGGCAAAAGCCAAACGAGCTTTACGAATCCGTGCTGAGATTTCGTCAGACACCAACCCATTAGGGCTGATCAGACTTCCAAGATAAGTGAAGTTGTCAACGCGTTCGACTACTTCACTCCCTATCCTTAGTTCAGGTGTTGACGCAGACCAGTCCTGAAGCAACAACTTGCATTTAGAGGGAGAGAAGCGCATCCCAAACATTCTGGCATTGTTGCTTAGTGCTACCAGAAGACTCTGCATTTTGTCAGCGTCTTCACCAAACAGGACTATGTCATCTGCATATTCTAAGTCGATAAGTGGACCTCCTGGAAGGAGATCAATACCCGAGAATTCAGTCGACGAGAGTGTTATTTCCATCAATAGGTCTATGATGAAGTTAAACAAAAATGGAGAAAGTGGGCAGCCTTGACGGACACCACTTGAGGTTGCAAAAGTAGATGACAGTTCGCCATAAGCCCTGACTCGACTAGTAGTGTTCGAGTAAAGAGCCTTCACAAGGTTTATGTACTTCTGAGGTACGCCTTTCAATGACAGACACTGCCACAGAGTCTCGCGGTCTACAGAGTCAAATGCTGCTTTTAAGTCAAGAAAGACCACCATCGTCGGACGCCGATAGGTATGCCTGTGTTCTAGAACCTGACGAATGGTGAATATGTGGTCGATGCAGCCACGACCAGGTCTAAAGCCAGCTTGGTTCTCTCGTGTTTGTAGTTCACGAGTCTTAGTTAGGCGTTTGATAATTATCGAGGCCAGTATTTTAGATACTATGTTTGTTAAACTAATCCCTCTGTGGTTGTCACAGGATGATTTTGACCCTTTCTTATATATTGGGACGATAAGTGATTGCGACCAGTCAGATGGGATAACGTCTAATTCCCAGATCTTAGCTAAAATATTAGTCAACCTAATCGCTAAAATTGGACCACCATCCTTAAAGACTCTGGAGCCAGTCCATCTGGACCAGCTGCCCTTCCTCGTTTCAGATTAACTATAGCCTTCTCAACTTCAGCAAGAGTTGGGGGACCTACTTCAATGTTCCATTCACTTTGTCTGGGAATGGAGGGTAGTTGTAGAGTAGCTGAAGGCCAGCTGAACTGTTCTCTAAAATGTTCCGCCCATCGTTCTAAACGTCTGGACTGGGAGCAGATGAGAGTATCATCTTTTTCCGAAATAATCTCACTTACACTTGACTTATTAGTTCCAGTTTCTTTTATTAGTCTGTAAAGCTGTCTTGTGTTCCCTATAGTCGCCGCCTTTTCCATCTCTTTTGCTTTCGTTACCCACCACTGCTCACGGTCGTTCCTTAGACTTTTTCTTAACCTAGATCTGATTTGTTTACGCTCTTCATCATGTTCAGAACCTGATGGGACGAGTTTGCGAGAATCCATCAGTGTGACAGACCTTGAAGAAATCCACTGGTTCCTTGTAACTCTGTGGTTTAAGTCACTAACAGATGTCACTGCTGTTTCCACAGCTGCTTGTATGTCCTTCCAAGCAACATCTGGGTCAGCCTCGTCTTCACAACTAACTAAGTGTGACCTCAGTTGTTCCTGGAACCTACTTTTGGTTTTCTCGTTACTCAACTCAGTTCTAATGGGTCTTTTTAATGTGGCTTTTTTGCGTCCATTGAGGCGCAAGCAGATGCGTGCCCGTATTAGGGCATGGTCGGAGTCCAAGCAGGTGCTCCAGAATGAACGACAATCTTCTACCGACCCTCTCCAACGATGACTGATGGCAATATGGTCTATTTGAGTCCATCGTTGGTTTGGTGTAGGGGGTCGCCATGTTAGACGATGTCTCTCCTTATGCTTAAAATTTGTGTTTGCTAAAAATAAACGATTGTCTGAGCATAGCTGCAGCAGACGATCACCATTATCTGTTCGCTGTGTCGGAATACTAAAATATCCACCTAAATGCCTTTCTGTTTGGTTTAAACTGCCTATCTGAGCATTAAAATCACCTGCTACGAGTACTATGTCTGAGCGTTTAGCTTTCTGAAGAAGTTCGGATAGCTTTCTGTAAAATTCATCTTTCACTTCATCTGAGCTGCAGTCAGTGGGAGCGTAGGCAGAAACGACAAAAAGGCAACGACGTGTGTCCCTATCCTTCCGAGTTCTTACGTAGCCGTTCAGCCGAACAGCACATAGACGACTGTTGACGGGGATCCACTCTAGCAGTGCTTGTTCGGCCCTTATGCTTAGTGCTATGCCTACACCTGCCAGTCCACGAGAACTTGCCATCGGGTCACCAGACACACGAAGGGTGTATCTCGTTGGCTCTCCGTCTTGCCGAGGTGAGGTCAAGTGAATGACCACACTGGAATCCTGTATGCGTGTTTCGGAGACACAGCATACATCAATGGAAAGAGACTCTAGGGTTTTAGCCAAGGAAGCCTGCTGACCGATTTGACATAGGGTGCGTACGTTGAAGGCTCCAATGTGTAGTTTGGAGCGAGGTTTCAGTAGACCTGGGACAGTGTTTTGCGCACTAGAATCGTTGGCTACGGTGACACTTGAGGTGGAAGCCGAGAGAGGAAATACAGAGTTGAAAGTCGATGTAGGAGGAATAATAGGAATTGAAGAGGAGGTTGATTATGAATACAGTGGACTTGAGTGCTGTTAGAAGTATGAGGGCGGTTATCACTTCCCGGTTGCCCACACCGTGGAAGGGTTGTTCTGGAGGTACCTGAAAAGGAAATTGGATTAAAGGTGGTCTTAGTGAACTGAGAGCGTGACCGCAGTGCCCAAGGGACAACTGCTTGAGGTCGGTCACACACGACCTTGTTATGGGTAATTTTTGTGTTAGCTCCGTACTTATTGAGACCTTACCGCCGGAGACGGATATCCGTGGGATAAGGCGAGGTGTGCATTTTTAGGGTCGACCTTTTCTAACCCCACCCCTCCTTGTGGGAAGGCAGCATCGCTGTCATGCTGGTTGTCTGAAGGAAACACCTTACTGCTGTCACACCTCTGTACAGTCAGCAGTACGACTTCGCCTTCGGACCTTGGGTTTGTTGCTTTTAGTCTTACCGCTCTTCAACCGACCTGTCTGACATGGTAGGACCTTGAGGAACGGTTGTTCCAGCCAGTATAGCTCGGTTGCTTCATCACGATAGGCAAGCCCGACCACCACGTCAAGGTAGCAACAACGGTCGGGATGAATTTCTGTAAATAGCAATGAATGCAATTTAACATGGTAGACTTGAAGAAAGTTGTTTAAACTGATAGTATTGCATAGTTTAGTAAAGTCTACCTTAGATGACTCGACAGAATATGAGGAAGATTGACTTACAGGCTATTTATTGTAAATAAAAATTTAAAACTCATAGAAACCCACGATCTGTATGACTAGTATGGTAAGCGAATAAAAGTTGGGAACCCCAATGAGCGAAAAGCATTCTGCACTATAACCTTTTAAAATCCAGATGATTAAATGCACATTATATCTTCAGTTGACATACCACATTATTCTATAAGGTGAGTTGAAGTAGATTGAGGTTTTAACACTAAAAAGTACCATAGAGTTAAATAAAGATAACCAAAACAACAAACCTAATTAGAATATACATTAAAAAAATTAAAAACGTTGAATTTGATTTGACCATTCTCAAGACACATGAATTCAACTAATAGTGAATCCAAGTGAATAAATCACTGGTTATATGAGGCAAAATTAACCGTAGATAAGTTGTTATTAGGAAAATCCAAGTGACACAACTTCCCATATAAATAAAAAGGGATAAATATCCATACATTCCATACAAATTTCAAACTGACAAAAATTAATAGGCCGTTAGTACGAGTCACAACCAGAAGCAAGATGTGAGTTGTCTCGAAAGTTAATGAGATTGATGTTGATATAGGTTGAAAATCGAAAAACAATCCTGCTTGATTACATAAGCTACCATACAATAAACCCACTTGGGATCTTTGGCCTGGATTTTATAGATCGCGACAACGTATTCGCGTTTATTAATGAGGCCCATTTCTAAATTCGTATTACGCTTCAGTAATTATTGATTCATTACAAATGGGAAGAAGTGGTACTTACGAATAGTCCTAGTGAGAAGTCTACTCAAAGAGCAATGGTAATATTTAGTCGTGAAGTGATACCCTACATACTCATCAACCGTCTTCTATTACTCCACGTCCACGCCCCATTCACAACATTAACAAGCATGAAGTCACGAAGATCCCAATGAAAAATCAATTCCACAGAATCTGAACGCAGGAACAACATGTAAATCAAAACCAAACTATCGTCTTACCAACCGCACACCAGAAAGTAAACGTTCAACAAGTCAACTGAATACGATGATCACGAAATAAATAACATGGGATTGAATGCAATTCAAAAATATTTATTTAGAAAAATCACATCAATATTTTAACATTAAGCAACGATTAGTTTAGTAAAACATATTCTCTTCTAGTGAGTAATTGCATGTTGCTTCTCCAATGGCGCCTCCAATACCAATGTATTGCCAACTACCTGAGCAGAAACAGATAACGGATCAACTGTCTCGGGAATCGCATACGACTGGCTGAACTCTGCAAATGAACTTGACTTTCCATATTGACCACTCTTCTGCTTATGATGACGTCCACTAACCACAACACGATTCGAATCAACATTCACACACAAGTCTTCAGGCTTGTACACTGGGTCCACTGGAACCTCAACATGCAATCGCTTGCCACCTGAACCATCATCCACATACGATAGACCATGAACACCTGAAATGGATAGGAAAAAATACAATGTTAGGAAAATGCAACACACACAAACGAGAATAACACACCCACCAGATCAATCACAACTCCTCTCACCTTTTGCAACAAGTGCTTGAGACGCAGGAACTGCCTTAATCTGATTGTCCGATTTCGGTCGAACACCCACCTGACCAGACTCGTTCAGCGTCAACGACTGGTTCTGATCAACCTTCACTGGAGCCTCCAACATCAAAACACCATCCTGAAACGGACAGACAAACAAACGCACAGAACAAGATGAAATGAGACTTCCAACTATTCTAACATGATTCGGAATGCAAACAACTGCAAATACAACACACACAAAACCACCACCACCAACCACAGTCGTCAACTCAACAACTTACATCTGTCATGCGACATTTCAGTTGACCATCATCAATACTCTTCGGCAGCTGCACCATACGACAGAACTCCCGACTACACTTCCCACCATCGGTCGTTGTCTCCTTCTTCGCGTGTACCGTCACACGGTTCTCACTCGACGTCACATTGATGTCCTGAGGGGCGAAACCTTGTGCATCGAATCGTACCTTGAAATGTACCTACGCAATAAACAACAACCATAATAACACTCGTCAATCAACGGCCATGTTCAAAACCAACTGCAAAAAACAATAAACACAACCTACCTGCTCGTCAGCACGAACTCACCTTGCCATCCTCACCTATTTCGTAGGCGTCCTTTAAAAAGTCACTCACTGAACCGGTCGACGGAACATCCATTGAGCCCATTCTCTCTCGGATATCCTGGATATGACGATCCATTTGGTGCATTAAAGCGAATGGATTCTCCCAAATCCCGTAGGTGAAGTTGTCCAACGGCTGAAATTCAAAGAACATACCGAGCTCATCAAATCTCTCCTCGAATTTAATGCGAAATCTGCTCACACAATGCATTATTGCATTCCTAACATACACAAATGATAAAACATTATCTCAGGAAATCATATGCATTAATGGTCACCTGAATACTGAATAGCAAAACTCACTAATAGTGCGAACATTCCACGTCTCAAACGTCGCATGTCTTCATCCCATCTCCTCCAGGAGGAGTTGATCCAGCTGTCCACAGTACTCGGCCAGTCTTCCGTGTACGGTGCGATTAGGTTGCCACGATGAGTACCACCTCCGTGTTCCAGGCCAGTTAACAGGTCACGTCTCTGCCTCTCAAATGACCGTTGCTCACGATTCACAGGAATACTAACTGCTTGATGATGTTGCCCACCAGACATATTTAACACGATAACAGAAATAGAACAACAATATGCGTTGAATGCTCGACTGTTTAACTTACTTATATAGTGGTGGGTGAGAGAAATTATTCAATGACCTCTAAATGGGTAACAACCAATCAGAACGCTAATATTTCTACAATGTAATTAAGTCCAAATCTGATTGGTCATTGAAGGACATTTTCTCGAAAGTTCTAGATTTCTCTCGCCCTGTCTAGTCTACGTTCACATATGTTCGCTCTGTGTCAACACACATTACGCCCTATTTACCAGAACTCTCTAGAAAACACTACCGAATTCTAGTGAAATCCTGGTGCTTCCATACTAATGCTATTCACTACAAGTCACAACTGACCATTAGTGATGTCGTACTTGATAATTTTACTTCGATACACGATCATGGTTACTTGGCAAGGACATCAAAAGCACAGTCGACAGACTGTTTGTGTGTTCGGCTCATTTTCTTATTAGTTGAAAGCAGGTAACTTAGGTCGTTTGGTGAAAACTGAACTACAAACTGTGATTTTCGTGTAAAGCAATCGAAATTTTCAAAATTTCATGATACGTGCTGCATATATTCAGACGCGAATTCATCCCAAACTGTACTTTACTGAGAGTATTTCTGAAATATTCCTTTCACCAGTTTGTTTACTTATCACATAAATAATCTGGAATCCGCAACTTCATTGTTGGGATCAACGTCTTCTCTGATCGATAACGTTTGCTGGTTAAATTTGTGATACTTGATACATTTATTGGTTCTTAAAAAGCTTTCGTGCTTAGATCTATGCCTGTTTTCTAAATCCCTTTGGTTCTATGCACTGATGGGTTTTCAACATTAGTACACTTCTGAACGGGTTCTCAATATAAAGTATTGTTAACCAAAATTATTTGGAAACTTTACTAATTGTTTTGAAGTAATATTGCTGTAATCCATGTCCAACATTGCTTAGAAATTCGAGATTTTTGTTGCCATACTCCCATGTACGTGTTGTACTGCATCCGACTTACATAACTACAGGATAAGCTTGAGGTTGAACAGAAATTATAATTTCAATAAACCAAAGACACTTGATAATAGTGTTCTATAAATTTCAAATATTTGAAGATTGGTAAGTAATTCTACTCCACTAGTTGCTTGAAATATTGATCTGCTCTTACTGTTTCCAATGTAACCGAACCAGACGGTCAGTCAATAAATAATTACAGATTAGAATTTTTCACATCAATTTATAATCAATATATAATTGTGGTATTTGTACTAAATAATGATTCCTTTGCACTCGATTCAGAGCTTATTACGAATTCCAAATATAACACGTTCAGTTGTGTTTATTTAGTTCTATCCACCTTAGGTTGCACTATTTCGGGAATTCTTAGTTATCGAATCAGGTTGGATACTTCTAATTATTATTATGGCGTCGCGATGGAGCCTTTAATTTGGCAGTTGGATATACATTCAAATTCGGAAGCTTTCAAGGACTAAATTGAAACGTTTGAGATCTGTAGTATGACCAGTAAAGATGTTAATGATGAAAAAAATTTAGGTATCATTTCCTTACTTTTATCGAAAAGGATGCCTGAAGCTCACTAAAAACTTGGCATTTCCAGATAAGCCTATTTCATTTCACAATGAAACTTTCGAAGAACCACCGTGGTTAAAGAAGAAATCAGGTGAGAAATATCAATTTATCTAGCGCGAATTTACAGAGTGTGTTCCTAAAATATAAAAACCGTATATTAAATACATCATCTGCACATCTTATGTCACTTATCTCTTACAGACTTCATCATTCATTCATTCATTCCGGTTTTTATTTTGATTGCTTTTAGCTTTCTGTTCTATTCTCTTCATGTCAATCTTCCGCTCGCAGGCATTCTATTTCCGATCGGTGCTATATACTACTTATATCTGTCAGCATAAGTAGCATATATCACACTACTACTAAATCATGTGAAGTGTGCAAACTTTGAGTGTCGTGAAAGAGCATAATTTCATGAAATGATTCGTCAGAATAACTAGAGAGTTTATCCCTGTATTTCATAAACAAGCCACCAAGCATAATTTTGGTGGTCAAATTCATGTCCATTTGGGTGATCGTTTAACTACATGAATTAACATACCAAATCTGGGACGAGAGCTAATACAAATGCTGAGGTGTTCATTCCAAGGTGCTAGGACTTCGTGTATTAGTTATGAAGCAGCTCATGAGACTAACTTCCGGAATATCAAGAATTCTATCACACTACTTAGTTGTCCTAATCCTATTCGTACTCAAGATCATGAGGGTAGACGTTTAATTAACTGCAATCATCGTTCTCATGAAAACATTGGAGACAATGCATTGAAGAACTCCAAGGCAGTAAACAAAGGTGATGTGGTGTTTGTGTAAACTAATGATTCCTTAGTACTTGATGACTGCTTGATTTCGAATTCCAAATACAATACGTTGGTTCGTGGTCACCTAGTTTTTCTTGGTTAAATTGAATTATTTCTGGAATTCTTAGATTGTACTATAATTTAAATGCTCCTACTTATCACATCGGCGTCGCGATAGGGCCTGTGATGGAACAGTTGGTCATTCATTCAACTTCTGAAGCTTATGAGGATTATTTGGAAAGATTCGAAGTCTGGAGCATGATCAAGAAATATATGAAGGGTGATAAAATTGTGGCACATTTCGTTACATTCATCGGAAAAGAAACCTACAGTTTATTAAAAACTTTGAAATATCCAGAAAAGTCTATCTCACTTCCTTATGCAACTCTTAAGGAACTACTGTTAAATCATGTAAAGTGCATCAGTTTTGAATGCCGTGAGAGAGCAAAATTTCATAAGATGATTCGTCAGAATAACCAAAAGGTTAGGGAATTCATCCTTGAATTGCAACGACGAGCTGCCAAATTCAATTTTGGTGATCAACTTCATGTGCAGCTGAGGGATCGATTAATTGCAGGAATTAACACACCGGGTCTGAAAAGAGAGTTGTTAAGAATGCCGAACTGTTCCTTTCAAGATACTAGAACTGCATGTATTAACTACGAAGCAGTGAATGAACTTGATATCCAGTCGATGAAAATTTCTAATACTTTACTCAGTCGTCATGATGAAATGCAATTTCAATGTCGATCAAACCTGCGTTCGTTTTATAGTGATTCCTAATCTCGTCAAAATATGAAAGGTGATTCAATAAGAAATCGCAAAGCAAACCACAAAGGTGAGTGCAAGTTTGGTAAATGTTTATCCTGTGGAAAATTCCATTCTCCTAATACATGTGTATTTCCTAATGCTAAATGTTTTAGATGTGACAAGATAGAACACATTCAGTCAGTATGCAAAACTACTGTTCATTAACTTCAAATAGTACCAAACCTTGTAATTTAGATCCCGTTGATTTGACTGTTCCTAATGATCATTTATCTTTATCCACCATTTCGGAAAGTAACGCTCATATTCAAAAGCGATTATATACATCCCTTGGTTCATTTCATGACCTTATTGTGGACACAGGAAGTATAGAGTCCATTGTTCCATTTGAGAACTTGGAATCTTTAGATCCTAACATTGCCGTACGACCCATCGAGGCCTCAATGTTGGGGATTACTGGACATAGACTGCCCATACGAGGATGCTGTGAATTGCTAATACGAGATGATAATTCTTCACACATACTTTGTGAATTTTTAGTTAGTGAAACAGGACTGTCAATACTGAAAAGGCTTAAAGTGAAGTTATGTTTACTAGTTTCTAAAGAACATTCTAAAGAACATGATTTACATAAAGATTTAATAGCTGCGTGTACTAAGGAATCATAAGTTCACACAAACACCACATCCGCCACAGATTAAATTGGAGTCCAACTTTCTGTAATCCATTGTACGTCTTCTCCTTAAATTCATCCTATGTCTGTCCGATAGTGTATTGAACAAAGACTCTGTACTATCTAGAATGTACTCATTAGTATTAGAATTAATAACAGAAATTGGAACGGACTCGCCTGGGTCCTGGAATTGTATTTGATCAACATGTCGGTTGTGTATATTTAAGTCATTGAAATCTAGAATTCGCACCATAGATTTCCCGATATTCTTAACCACAACCCCGTGGCTGGTTGAAGATCATTTCAACAATAATATGTAACTTCTACAAACTCCAAACATTTCATATTTGGACGAGGAATTCTTACTTTTAAAAGCTTTGATGGAGTCTCTTTCGTTACAGAATGTTTAGCATTTCTATATTACAGTAGAAATGTATATACTCCCCTCTCCAGTTCATTAAGTGTTGAAGCAGTAATAGAAGCAATAGCAATTTTCAATGTTCTGACAAACTTTTCTGCCTGACCATTAGAACAAGGGTGCCTGGGAGCAGTAAACAGATGTTTGCACCCCATATCATTCAACCAGGTAGTGATTGCATCCACAGAAAAACGAGAGCCATTATCAGTCACTAGAACCATGGGAACCCCTTCTCGACTAAACAACTTTCTTAATGCTTGGATTGTAAAGTCAGAATTTGGTGAAGTTGTGAAAAAGCCTCAGGTCACTTCAAAAAGAATCAATGACTACAAGTGCATGGTATGTATCAAGAAGTGGACCAAAATAATCTGTATGAATTCTCTGCCAAGCCTCAGATGATACTGGCCATGGAGCAATACTCCATCGTCGAACCATAGCAGCTAAGGAACGTGCTAAGGATTTTTCAGGATGATAAATAAACTTTGAAGCTTCATGATCACTAACAATAGTGAATCTCTTTCCAAATAAATGTTTATAAAGTCTTTCAACAGCGCAAAACACAACTGATCGCTGAATTTGTGAATAATGTTGTTCAGTAACAGTAAGTTTGAGTGGAGCACAGATAACTGGTCTACCTCACTGCTCCAAAACTGTACCAATACCCACAGGTGATGTGTCAGTAATACGTATAGAATGTACACTAGGGGAGTAAGTTCGAAGCATAGAATCACTTTGAAGAAAATTTAGTAGACTTCATAAGC